CTCGGAAGTAGAACAGCTATTTTACCTCCAGTGCTTTTCTTAGCTGCTTCAGAAGGGATCATCGAAGAACTAACATCACACAGGAAAATTACACACAACACAATTTGGAGTCTCCTGTACATTGGAACGATCAAACACACAGAGTGGGAGACCATTTTCCCGAACACTTCAGCACAGCTCACAAGAATGTCCCTGAGCTTTCAGTGACGTTTGATTTCAATGCCCCACCCTCCCCTAAGACTGACATCGACTTGGCCTGCTGCACTGTTCCACGGAAAGTCAAGGTCACAAGCTGTGACTCGTCTTCTAATTACGCATTTTATAGCAGTATGGACTCAAACATTTCATTCCATTTCACCGTGTCCTCTATTTTATTTCCATTTCTTTCTTTTCAATGTTTGTTTTGCCAGCAGCACACCTGCTCTAGGCACATTTTGGTTTATTTGTTTGTTTTCTTGCCCCATCTCAATTTCCTTTGGACCCTTCCATTGGATCACAGATCTTTCTTTTGCACAAAGTGTGGAGAACTAAAATGACTGGCCACTGAAAGCACCAAGAACCTGGTCTGCAAGATTCTTAAAGAAAGAAGGCCCTCATTGAAAACCCTGCACAGGAAGTGCATTTTGGAACTCTCATAATTCCATCTTCCTCTGAGATTTCTTTACCTTCCCAGGCCAACTTCCAGATTCTGTGAGTGGCTGCTTCTTGATAAGGATTTTTCTCCAAGCAGGTTGTTCTTGATACCTGTCCAGCACGTAGATAAAGATGTAGCAAGGTGCTATCAACTAGAGATGCCTACAATTAATATCTGACTGGCATTGATGAAACCATTCACATTTTGAAACTACTTTTTAAAAATTCACTCACGGAAAGTAGTTATCACTGGCTGGGCCAGCATTTATTGTCCATCTCTAGTTACCCTTGGGAAGGTGTTGCATGTCTTGAACCACCGCAGTCCATTTGGTGCAGGTAGGCACACAATGCCCGCATGGAGGGAGTTCCAGGATTTTGACAGATTGACACGGAGGGAATGGAGATATAGTTTCAAGTCAGGATGGTGAGTAGCTTGGAGGGGAATGTGCAGGTGGTGGTGTTCCCATATATTTGCTGCCATTGTCCTTCCAGGTGATAGTGGTTTAGGACGTTTTGTCTGTGTAGCCTTGGTGAATTTCTGCAGTGCATCTTGTATATGGTACACATTACTGCCGTTAAGTTGGTGATTGAGGAAATGAATGTTTGTGAATGTGGTGCCAATCAACCAGCTTCTTTGCGCTAGATGATGTGATGGCTCTTGAGTGTTGTTGGAGCTAAACCCATTCAGGCAATTGGGAAATATGACATCACACCCAACCAGTGTAACGGAGATGATGAAAGTTCTGGGAATGTCCAACTGCAACTTAGGTGGTGGAATATTGCCAACAATATCTCCCCTGAGGGCAATGCATCCCTGGGATGGCTATCCACATTAAAATACACAGTCAACCCAGATCAAGGGAACCAGGAGAAACCTTTCACCTGGTATTTACAGGGCTTATCCCATCCATGCTGAGGGACAAAGATACTGTTTAGTTATAATGGATACCTATTGGCTGGAGGCATTCGAGTCATGGGATTGCACTGCAACCACCATCGCAAGGATATTCGCCAAGGAAGTGATTGCCTGGTTGGGAGTCCCCATTCAGATGGATTCTGATCAGGGACCCCGTTTCACCAGAAAAGTGGTTAAAGAGACCTGGAAACTAATAGCAACAAAACAGAACTTCCACGTTCCCTACAATCCTCAATGATCTGGGATGGTGTTAAGAATGAACTGGACTCTAAAGATCTTGCTGGCCTGGAGCATCCAGCAAACAGGAAGATCCTGGGAAGGTGTTCTCCCAGAATTCTCATGAAGTTACCAACCACTGCCAACTGGCTTACCCCTAAGGAGTACCTACTTACACCCTCCACAATAACCATATTAAAACAACCACCTCAGTTTTGACCACTGCACTGATAACTACCACAGCTGAGCCATCACAGCAGGAGGCATCAAGGGATAGGAAGCTCCAAAGCTTACATTGTAAGTGTGAACTAAGGGTTACAGATAAAACACAGGAACATGGAAATGGGGAATGAGCCTTGATCCCATTGAATTGCCAATCAGTCTCATGGGCCCAAGCAGCCTAGCCCTGTTCCTATTTTATTGTCTTATGGTCTTATTAATCAGTTAATACTGGAACATCACTTATAACTGCTACGGATATACAGATAGTCCAAGCATGGTTCGAGAAACTTGTTTAGGTGATCTGAGCCCTGATGTAAAATGAAATTTGGATGATTAAAGAAAAGAGCCAGCTGGGACTAAAGACAGTAGACCAGCTGCTCACAGGAGTGGTCACGAATGGCCGTGCCAAAACTATCAAGTTGTTGATAGATAAGCAATAGAATATTCACAGTTAACAGGTGAAACTAAATGTTTGCCATGAATTTGGTGGCGAGATAATAGGAGAGGTCTACCAGAACTTTACATATCACTCAAGGATCAGGGCCTCTCCAACTACTTGGTTGCTCACGAGAGAAGGCGGCAAGAAGCCCAGGGCTGAGATGGTCTAGCATTTGTTCACTCGGGTAGGTATGCCCAGCACTAAAATTACAGATTGCACTGGCAGACAACAACAAATTAGGAATATGAGGATCAAACATAGTTTTAGTGTGTTTGTGCTGAGAAGGCATTGTGTCATGACATCTTTGACTGAGGAAACATTAATGGTTAAATTTTCAAGGCCACAGTCAGAATGAGTTTGGTAGAAGCAATCCCAGTATATCCTTGGTCACTGCTGCTAGAAATCACATACTGCGTAGTTAGGAGAACGCAATCTGATCATGTGCGTTCATGTAATCTGGGGGCACGGCTCGGGGTAGTTGTGTTAAGCCGTGACAGTCTGTGTAACTGAATGCTGTAAGAAATGTGCAATCAAAATGTGCTGAGTCACAGTGTAAAAGTGATGCAGTTTTGTAACTC